GAAATCAAACTTGAAATAGTAAATTAAAATATATAAAAATTAATATCATCAAGGTGCAAAATCAAGTTTTTGATACTCACTTATCTCTAAAAAGTCTTTAATACTCAGTTGAGAAATCTTTGAAATGTTAGAATTAAAATGATGAAATTGCAGGGACATGGATATGGCTTGTTAATATAAGGTAAATGTGGTCATGTAACATTGTAAGCTATTGATAACCTTAGGTTCTGTTCTTTGGGTTATGAATGCATAACTAGGAAAAGTAGCAAGTAACTCCTTTTTACCCTTTTGTCTTATGATATTGTTGTTATTTTTTTTTATTATAAATTATGTGTATCTAATAATATAAATATTATCTATTTATAACCTTAGGTTCTGTTCTTTGGGTTATGAATGCATAACTAGGAAAAGTAGCAAGTAACTCCTTTTTACCCTTTTGTCTTATGATATTTTTGTTATTTTTTTATTATAAATTATGTGTATCAAATAATATAAATATTATTTATTTATTTTTAATAATCCTAGATTAGGTATAAAAATTTTGATTTTTTATTCTAATTAGATGAATTTTATATTTTTAGTTTATTATTTTATTCTTAATTTTATTGATATTTGGATGAGTTAAATGTGATTTTATTAGATTTTATATGATTTTTATTATTTGTATAAAAAAGATTAGAATGCATGGAATTGAAAATTTTGAGACTTAAGTGTAACTCTTCAAAAAGTTTAGAGACTACGTTTAATAAGAAAAGTTACAATTAGGACCAAATTGAAGAAAAGAAAAGTTAGAAAACCAAAATATACTAGAACTAAAATTGGAGGGACCAATAATGTATTTTAGAATTTTGGAGGATTTTGACGGGAAGAGTGAACAGAGTTATCAAGTCCATTAACGGAGGGATGATTATTGTCCCTTTTCTAAACTTGATGAATTTTTATAAATTTTTTTAAAGTATAAAAATGACAATGACTCCTTTTATAAAATTGGAGGATTTTTAATGGTATTCTGTCATTAAAATTTTACA